TATATGTAATTTTATTCTAACAGTATTTTGATATTAATATATATTTATATCAAAATACACTTAGAATGTAATGAGATATATAGCTATGTATAAATAAAAATACGAAATATACATATGTCCATATACATAATTACACAAATAATTTCATAAATATACACAGACGTCAAATATATAAATATGTATATATATTCAAATTATACGTGTGTATTTATGTAATATTTTTTTCTTAATTAAGTAATTTTAATGATTGCAATTTGAGGGACCTGCCTGCCAACCCAGGCCTAAAGTCCAGAGAATTTAATTTGCTAGCATTGTGTTTAACCTTGTAACTTTCTATGACACCCTAAAACCTGTACATGGGGGGAACTGTTTTACTCGGGAGACTTCGCTGAACACAAATATTGGTTTTTCAAAACAGTAAAACATATCACAGCAATGATATTGTCAGTGAAAGTGACTTTTTTTTTTGCATTTTTCACATACAAACTGCACTTTCACTGATGATATTATTGCTGTGATAAGTTTTAATGTTCTGATACACTAATATTTGTGTTCAGCAAAGTCTCCTGAGTATAACAGTACCCCACATGTAGAGGTTTTTTAGTGTTTGTGAAAGTTACAGGTTCAAATATAAAACTTGATTTTACTTTTTTTTTTTATTGAAATTTGTCAGATTGGTTAGGTTGCCTTTGAGAGCGTATGGTAGCTCAGGAATAAGAATTAGCCCCATGATGGCATACCATTTGCAAAAGAAGACAACCCAAGGTATTGCAAATGGGATTCATCCTTTTTTAGTAGCCACTTAGTCACAAACACTGGCCAAAGTTAGCGGTTTTTGCATTTTTTTAACACATAAACCATGCTAACTTTGGCCAGTGTTTGTGACTAGGTGGCTACTAAAAAAGACTGGACATACCCCATTTTGAATACCCTGGGTTGTCTACTTTAAAAAAAAATATGTACATGTGAGGTGTGATTTGGGGATTTATGACAGATAACGGTGTTACAATGTCACTATTGTGTGTGTGTGTGTGTGTGTGTGTATGTGTGTATATATGTATGTGTGTGTGTGTGTGTGTATATATATATATATATATATATATATATATATATATATATATATATATATATATATATATATATATATATAATCAACAGCAATTTCCTACTTGTATTTATAGGCCCATAACTTGCAAAAAAAAAAGCAATAAAGCATGTAAACACGGGGTGGTTTTAAACTTGGGACAAAATTTTGAATCTATTTAGCAGTTTTTTTCATTAGCTTTTGTAGATAAGTAAAAGATTTTTCAAGTAAAAGTCCAAAAACATGTTTTGTTTGTTTGTTCAATTTTTCACCATATTTTTTTTTTTAAATAAAATGACATGATACAAATAATGGTATGTAAAGAAAGCCCTTCTTGTCCTGAAAAAACAATATATAACTTGTATGGGAACCGTAAATGAGAGCGAGGAAAATTACAGCTAAACACAAACACCACACAAGTGTCAAAACTGCTTTGGTCCTTAACGTACAACATCGCAAAAACAGGCCGGTCCTTAAGGGGTTAAAGGAACACAATAGGGTCAGGAACACAAACATGTATTCCTGACCCTATAGTGTTAACACCTCCATAAATATAGCAAAATCTTACTGTATTCAAGCCAGAAGCAGTAACTCTGCATGCTGTTTGCCTAAAAAAAAAAAAGGAAAAAAAAGTCTGCTGACATCAGAAGTGGTGGCCATGATCCAATCACAGTGCATCCCCATAGGATTGACTGAGACTGACAGAGGCAGATCCAGCACAGTTGGCCAATCAGCATCTCCTCATAAAGATGAATTGAATCACTGAATCTCTATGAGGAAAGTTCAGTGTCTGCATGCAGAGGGTGGAGACACAGTGCTGCCCTGTGCTCTGCTGATAGCAGATCTGAGTGGATTGAGGAGTTTTATGCCTCAATCAACTCGGAAGTCCCTCTGGTGGCATTCTGAGTGACTGCAACTGGAGGTGTTCCTAGCTTTCCATGTAAACACTGTATTTTCTCAGAAAATAATGTTTACATGAGAGATGCTGCAGGGAGCTATAGTTCTCATCTGAACAACCTCATTTAGCTGAAGTTGTTCAGGTGACTATAGTGTCCCTTTAAGGTCAAATAGCTGAACTGGAAAAATTCTCTGTCATTTATGCTTTCAGTTCAGCTACTCTGATCTTACATTTGAAATCCCCTTTGTATTGTCAATTTAGTAAATAATATGTATATGTTTAGCTACATAAGTTGTGTACATATTACCATATGGAATACAGTGGGGAAAATGAATAGTCCTCTTTATTAGAGATTTTTTTTTTTTCTTAGAGTAAAACGAAATTTATATCTGTATTTGAACAGTATTTTTACTATTTGGGATTGCTAAGGAAATGGGGTAATTTGGTAAAGACACCGCAAAAATACAGAAATTACTCTTGTATTCAAGACACAGAGCAGACTGAATCCTTAATGCATTATAGGTTTGCATTTTACATACTGTGCAGACATCATGTAAAAATATACATTTGTTAAACTTTTTTTATTTTATTTCTTGCACCTGCAAAGTGTTGTGTATTTTTTTTTAACTTCCACCAGGGGGAGCAAAAAAACTATTTTGTTGCAGTGAATGTTGATATATTTTCTTCTTCTATGCTCTGACTTGAATTAAACATTCATTAAAATGGATGTGCCAGTGTTTCTTTGAGGTCCATAATCATGCCGATTGATTAGCATTTTGCCAATTAACATTTTAAATTTGTGTGGTTAACTAATCTGAAAAGTTGCATGGAATTTGAATGTTCTTGCTTTAGACAGATATGTGAAAAACAGAAATAAAAATAGGCATAAAATGCAAAAAAAAAAAAATATACTCCTTGCATTGGCTGCCATGGAGAAGCACAAAGCTGACATGCCCACTTGCCCATCATGTCTGGCTCTTACTTGAAATGTCCAGCCCTGGAGTGTAGATCAACAAATTCTTGCGTTCTAATTCAATAGTCCGTTTAAGATGTACTTCTAATTCAACCTATATACATTTTTGTGAATATCTGTGAAAAATCCCCCAAATTCTTCTTCTTTTTTTTTTTTTTTTTCTTATTCTTCAGTACACAAACAAAATCTCTGTATCTGCTGCTATGGCAACAACTTTTTTCAACAGCCTTGTTTAACCATGGGCAAGCATTGTTTTGGCTAAAACAAATTTTGGTCCGTGTTGACATTCAAAATAGAAAGGTTGTGTCCTCATGCTTTTACAAATATCAAATAGATTCTCATTCTAGCGTTTCGTGTGATTATTAAAATGTATTCCCTGGAATGGTGCTCCTCCTGTACTGTTTCAGAAACTCACCACAAAGGCCACAATTACATTTATTTATTGGCAAATGTTTTGTGACATTTGCAAAAATGTCTTAAATTTTGGGTGGATTTAGTCTGACAAGGGTCAGATTTATTTACGGAATCTGGCACTATATAAATGGCAATAAAAATGTTTATTTAAATATAACTTTAATTCCTACCACTCCCCCATCTCCCTCCAAAAATTTCAATGATGCAATTGTGCAGCAGTATTGCATCAAATTGGGAGGGAGAGTGAAATTCACAGCTTTTGGCACTATGAGTCCTCCCATACTGTGGTGGGAGGGGGGCTGTTGCTTGGCTAGTATATCTTGTGTAAGTGCTATGGTTGTAGTGCCTCTGTCTGTTTAACCCTGCAATGTGAAACATTGCAGTTTCTGGTAAACTGCAATGATTACATTGCAGTGTTACCTTCATCACTATAGGCTGTCTTCCAAGGTTCCTAATAGACATTGGACATACTCGCGCTTTGCTGTAGGACGTCTGAAAATCTTCCCCATAGAAAAGTATTGATTCATTGCTTTTCTATGGAGAAATTTTAATGAGCTGTGCTATTCGCACATTAGGTCCCACAATCACAGTGATGTCGTGGGAGGAGTACACCTAGCCAGCGTCCATTGAGCTTTGGTGCTGTAAAAAAAAAAAAAAGAGAAGAAATATATATATTTTTTACTTACCCTTTTATGTTGGACAGGGGTAGGTGCCCTATAAAGTTAGGAACAGGGACACTAGAGCATTAGGAATAAAGGTTTGTATTCCTAACTGTATAGTGTTCCTTAAGGTGTAGGTATAATTATGGTAAAAACAAGGGATTCCTAGCGCCAATGAGAGTATTGGTAGGCAGCTAAAACAACCCAAACCAGAGTGTCTTCCTTCTGGAAAAAAGTAAAGTACGTTATAAAAATAAGGGAGCAACACCTTTTAGATAATCTCGAATCAAGAGATGGTCAGTGGATATGTGAAGAGAAAACAATATAGTGTAGTATCTTCTGACGGTTGTCGGAAAGGAGTATAAAAACACTTACAATTTTCAGAAGCTATAGAGCCGCTCCAGATGATAGCATCTGGATGGTACAATTCCCACCTATGTGGTGGCCCTGTAGGGCCTTGGCAGATTTTGTATCTGGATCTGATCACAGTAGAAATTGTGTGCATCTCCAAACTTGAAACCAGTAGGTCACTGTTGTTGATTTGTATGTAAAAAATAAAACCGTAAGTAGTGCTCACTGGTATAAAATCAAACTTAAAAATAAAATCAGAGGTCCTCACAAAAGGGAGCAAAAAAATATATTTTGGCTTAATCTTAATCGCATAGGTGGTATAATCCCCACCAATGATATAGCTGGAGTTTTCTACTTGATAAAATCTTCCTAAACTTCCAGGAGGGTCCAGAATGGTGTTAAAAGGGATTCAATCTTTTATTATAAATAAATATATTAGGGATTGACCGATATTGATTTTTTAGAGCCGATACCGATATTCTGTGAACTTTCAGGCCGATAGCAGATATAATTTGCCGATATTCTGTACATTTACCATTTTGGAAAATAAAAACTATTTCTAAAGGTAAATGCACAAAATATACATGCCACATGTAGTGGATGCAGTGTGTTTAGACAGGGGAGCTGTGTGTGTTTGTGTAGTGTGTGTAGTGGATGCAGCGTGTGTTTGTGTAGTGTGTGTAATGGATGCATTGTGTGTTTGTGTAGTGTGTTGAGGATGCAATGTGTATTTGTTTAGTGGATGCAGTGTGTATTCAAGTGTGTGTAGTGGATGCAGTGTGTATTAGTGTAGTGTGTATATAATGAAAGCAGAGTGTTTGTGTAGTGTGCATAAAGTGAATGCTGTATATACTAAATGCAAAGTGTGTGTGTGTGTGTATTTGTGTAGTGTGTGTATAGTGAATGTAGTGTGTTTATATAATGCAGATTGTGTGTGTTTGTATAGTGTGTATGTAATGCAGTGTTTGTGTAGTGTGCATTATATACACACACTACACAAACTCACTGCATTATATACACAAACTATGCAAACACACTGCATTATATACACACACTATACACACACACTGCATTATATACACACACTACACAAACACACACTGCATTATATAAACACACTACACAAACACATTGCATTATATACAGTGTGTTTGTGTAATGTGTGTATATAATGCAGTGTTTGTGTAGTGTGTGTATATAATGCAGTGCGTTTGTATAGTGTGTGTATACGTGTGCATTGTATACAAACACACTGCATTATATACACACACAGCATTATATACAGTGTGTTTGTGTAGTATGTGTGTTTGTATAGTGTGTGTATATAATGCAGTGTGTGTATTTGTGTGCATTGTATACACACACACTGCATTATATACACAGTGTGTTTGTGTAGTGTATATAATGCAGTGTGTGAGGGGGCATTTTTTATTAAATTATTTATTTTTTTTATATTTAATTATTATTTATTTTTGTTGTTCCCCCCCCTCCCTGCTTGTTGCCTGG